CCACTCAGCGGGCAGCCCGCCTGGAGGGTGGGCCCACTCAGCTCCGTCCCAGGAGCCGGGTTTGTTGTGCGTGCCGGGCTGAGGGACAGGTGAACCTGGAGTTTTGCTCTGTCACTGGATCGTGTTTGACCCCCATAACTGTGCGTTCGTACAACCCTCACGTAGTAATAAAAACTTTTAAATCAAGGAAGCCACTCTGGGCCTGGTTGGTTGGGCTTTTTTGCTTTTTATTTTCTAGTGTATTTATTTGAAAGAGAAAGAGAGGCCCCCCCCCATCTGCTGGTCCACACCCCAGTGCCGTTCAGTCAGCCCAGGCCTCCCAGCGGGGCGGAGGGACCCAGGGGCCCGTCCCCCCACTGCCTCCCGGAGTCTGCGCAGGGGCTGGAGTGGGGGGTGAGCCCAGGCAGGGACCCGGGGGGGGGTGAACCCAGGCAGGGACCCAGGGGCAGGGGTGAGCCCAGGCAGGGACCCGGGGGGGGTGAGCCCAGGCAGGGACCCAGGGGTGGGGGGTGAGCCCAGGCAGGGACCCAGGAGTGGGGGGTGAGCCCAGGCAGGATCCCAGGGGTGGGGGGTGAACCCAGGCAGGATCCCAGGGGTGGGGGGTAAGCCCAGGCAGGGACCCAGGGGTGGGGGGTAAGCCCAGGCAGGGACCCAGGGGTGGGGGGTGAGCCCAGGCAGGATCCCAGGGGTGGGGGGTGAACCCAGGCAGGATCCCAGGGGTGGGGGGTAAGCCCAGGCAGGGACCCAGGGGTGGGGGGTGAACACAGGCAGGACCCAGGGGCGGGGGGTGAGCCCAGGCAGGGACCCAGGGGTGGGGGTGAGCCCAGGCAGGGACCCAGGGGCGGGGGGTGAGCCCAGGCAGGGACCCAGGGGTGGGGGGTGAGCCCAGGCAGGGACCCAGGGGTGGGGAGTAAGCCCAGGCAGGGACCCAGGGGTGGGGGGTGAGCCCAGGCAGGGACCCAGGGGCGGGGGGTGAGCCCAGGCAGGGACCCAGGGGTGGGGGGTGAGCCCAGGCAGGGACCGGGGGGGGGGGGTGAACCCAGGCAGGGACCCAGGGGCAGGGGTGAGCCCAGGCAGGGACCCGGGGGGGGTGAGCCCAGGCAGGGACCCAGGGGTGGGGAGTAAGACCCAGGCAGGATCCCAGGGGTGGGGGGTAAGCCCAGGCAGGGACCCAGGGGTGGGGGGTGAACACAGGCAGGAACCAGGGGTGGGGGGTGAGCCCAGGCAGGGACCCAGGGGTGGGGGGTGAGCCCAGGCAGGATCCCAGGGGCCTCTCCCCACCGCTGCCTCCCAGGGTCTGCACAGGGGCTGGAGTGGGGGTGAGCCCAGGCAGGGACCCAGGGGTGGGGGGTGAGCCCAGGCAGGGACCCAGGGGTGGGGGGTGAGCCCAGGCAGGATCCCAGGGGCCTCTCCCCACCACTGCCTCCCGGGGTCTGCACAGGGGCTGGAGCGGCTCCGACCTGGGAGCCACACCTCTACTGCTGGGCTCCATGCTGACCTGGAGGTCCTCACAGCCCTGGCTACCCACCCAGAAGCAGCAGGCTCTCTGTTTGGGACAGAGGAAGGGGGCTCCTTCTCGGTCTCCGGCTTGGTCCTCGCCCTGGGTCCCTCTGGATCCCGTGTGTCCCTGACCCCCGGGCCTGCTGCTCCCTGCGGGGACTTCGCACCCGGGGTGTGGTCGTAACACTCAGGGCGGCTGGGCGGGGGCTGGCGCTCCTGGAAAGGAGCCGGCTCTGCTCCCTCTGCGGTCGTACTGGGGGTCAGTAGCAGTGGACACACGCGTGGGAGACCTGCAGCGTGGCCAGGGCGACGGCGACCCCACTGCCTCCTGGCCCAGGACAAAGCAGACTTACCAGGGGCCCCGCGGGGCTCCTCCCCCTGGGGAGCAGGGGCCGGCCTGGCCGCGGGCTTGCCCAGGGGCACACGTTGAGGTCGGCTCCCTGTGACTCTCAGAAGGCCTTGTTGTAGTTCAGGTTTCCCGTAGGGTAGCCCCGTGAAGGCAGGCTCCGTGGGTTTATGCCTGAAAACATTGAAAGCAAGAACTCAGATTTTTAAAGCCGGTGGCGCGGCTCACTAGGCTAATCCTCTGCCTTGCGGCGCCGGCACACCGGGTTCTAGTCCCGGTCGGGGCGCCGGATTCTGTCCCGGTTGCCCCTCTTCCAGACCAGCTCTCTGCTGTGGCCAGGGAGTGCAGTGGAGGATGGCCCAGGTGCTTGGGCCCTGCACCCCATGGGAGACCAGGAGAAGCACCTGGCTCCTGCCATCGGATCGGCGCGGTGCGCTGGTTGCAGCGCGCTGGCCGCGGCAGCCATTGGAGGGTGAACCAACAGCAAAGGAAGACCTTTCTCTCTGTCTCTCTCTCTCACTGTCCACTCTGCCTGTCAAAAAAAAAAAATTCAGATTTTAAAAAAATACTTATTTAATTATATTTGAAAGGCAGAGTTAGAGAGAGGGAGAGAGAGAGAGATCTTCCATCTGCTGGTTCACTCCCCAAATGGCTTCAAAGGCGGAGCTGGGCCAGTCAGAAGCCAGGCGCTTATTTGGGTCTCCCACATGGGTGCAGGGGCCCAAGGACTTGGGCATCTTCCACTCCTTTCCCAGGCCATAACAGGGAGCTGGATCGGAAGTGGAGCAGTCGGGACTCGAACCGCGCCCATATGGGATGCTGGCACTGCAGGCGGCGGCCTTACCCGCTGAGCCACAGCGCCGGCCCCGGGACTCAGAGACTTGAACTATTTGCGTAGCAGCCTTGCTCACAGCAGCCGAGAGGCAGAAGCCGCGTGCGTGTCTGCGCAGAGACTACAGCCAGAGCGTGGTCTGTCCACGCAGCCGGGGTTAGCGTCCAGCAGGAAGGGATCCCGACACGGCCGCAGCAGTGAGGGCTCCGTGCTCAGGGAGGCAGCGCGGGGAAAGGACAGGCGCTGTGCGCCGCTCCCCGGGGCTGCCGTGCAGGGCCGGCAGGGGCCGAGCCGCCCGGAACGGTTCACGTGCAGGACTCCCGTCACGGGGACTTGCCGTCCACAGACCTCAGCGGCCGGGTGCGTGCTGGAAGCAGATGGTGCTTCTCTTGTCTGTCTGTAAGACTTGTTTATCTTGCCAGGCAGAGAGACACAGAAAGGGAATTATCTTTGACCGGCTGGTTCCCTCCCCACGGGCCCCCAATAGCCAGGAGTTCCTGGAGCCAGGAGCTCCACCTGGTCTCACACGTGTGGCGGGGGCTCCACCCGGTCTCACACGCGTGGCCGGAATTCCAGCCAGGTCTCACGCGTGGCGGGGGCTCCACCTGGTCTCACATGCGTGGCGGGGGCTCCACCTGGTCTCACACGTGTGGCCGGAATTCCAGCCAGGTCTCACGCGTGTGGCAGGGGTTCCAGCCAGGTCTCACGTGTGTGGCAGGAGCTCCACCCGGTCTCACACGCGTGGCAGGAGCTCCACCCAGTCTCACGCGTGTGGCGGGGGCTCCACCCGGTCTCACGTGTGGCGGGGGCTCCACCCGGTCTCACGCGTGTGGCGGGGGCTCCACCCGGTCTCACGCGTGTGGCGGGGGCTCCACCTGGTCTCACGCGTGTGGCGGGGGCTCCAGCCGGTCTCACGTGTGTGGCGGGAGCTCTACCCGGTCTCACGTATGTGGCGGGGGCTCCACCTGGTCTTACACATGTGGCGGGGGCTCCACCTGGTCTCACGCGTGGCGGGGGCTCAGGTACTTGGGCCGTCTTCTGCTGCCTCCCGGTGCGTCAGCAGGGAGCTGGCTCAGAGTGGGCGGTGATGTGGGATGTGGAGCCCCGGGCAGCGGCTTAACTGGCAGCGCCGCAGGTAGACGGGAGAGTGGGGCTGGAGGGGGCCATTTTAGCAGAATCCATACATCCCTTATGTAACGAATTTTTTGCAGATTTCTGTAATTGTAATTTTTTATTTGGTTATTTTTTTAAAATGTATTCATTTATTTATCTGAAAGGCAGAGTTAGAGAGAGAGAGAGAGAGACAGAGACAGACAGAGAGAATCTTCCATCTGCCAGTTCACTCCCCAAATGATTGCAATGGCCAGGGCTGGGCCAGGCCGAAGCCAGGAGCCTGGAGCTCCGTCTGGGCCTCCCTTGTGGGTGCAGGGCCAGCGCTTGGGCCATCTTTCGCTGCCATCCCAGGTGCATTAGCAGGGAGCTGGATTGGAGCAGCTGGTGCCCAGGTGGGAGGCTGGAGCTGCAGGCAGGGGCTTTGCCCGCTACACCCCAGCCCCCCCCCTTAGTATTTATAGTAGCTCGGTCTTCCCTAGTTTTGGTGAATGTTCTAGATGCCAGAGAGGCCGGGACAGTGTGGTCCAAAACTCACTGAGGCAGTCCTGCCGTGTCTCAGGACTCGTGGCATCGCAGGTGGGAAGGCTGTGTGGTGCGCAGCTGTGCCCGGGACAGCAGCCCCAGCCGAGGCAGGTGGACGGCTGCTGTGTCTGGACCTCACTGTCCCCGTCCAGTGACCCTCACCCCGGCTCCGTGGCCCATCTCACCATTTCTTCTCTTGTCTTTTTGTAAAATTTGTTTATTTTAGTTGAGAGGCACAGTTACAGAGAGAAAGGGAGAGACAGAGAGAGGTCTTTGATCCACTGGTTCACTCCCCAAATGGCTGCCACAACCAGGGCTGGGCCAGGCCAAAGCCAGAAGCTTGGAATCCCATCCGGGCCTCCCACGTGGGTGCAGGGCCGAACCACTTGGGCCGTCTTCCGCTGCTTTCCCAGGCACATGAGCAGGGAGCTGGACCAGAAGTGGAGCAGCTGGGACTTGAGCCGGTGCCCATGTGGGATGCCGCACCGTGGCGCCGGCCCGGGGAGCTGCCCTGAGCCGGTTGTGCCTCGGAACCTGGGTGAGCCCTCCGGTAGCTTCCTGCGCAGCCGCGGTCCAGGACTCGGACGCCCGGGAGCGGTTGTGTATCTTGGATGAGGGGCCTTCTGTCGCTGCGTCGGAAGTTAACCGGGGCAACAGGTGCACTAAAAATGTCTTCTACCCCTCCAGGGTGCAGGATGGCAGGCAGGTGTACAGAAAGCCCTCGGCGAGGGTGCTGGACGACCTAGCCGGTCCCCACGGCCCCGCCCCCGGCAGCCCGGGGCCCTCCTGGCCTGGCCACGCCGGGCGCTATGGACTCCCCCGGCTACAACTGCTTCGTGGACAGGGACAAGATGGACGCTGCCATCCAGGACCTGGGGCCCAAGGAGCTGAGCTGCACGGAGCTGCAGGAGCTGAAGCAGCTGGCACGCCAGGGCTACTGGGCCCAGAGCCACGCCCTGCGGGGCAAGGTGTACCAGCGCCTGATCCGGGACATCCCGTGCCGCACGGTCACGCCCGACGCCAGCGTCTACAGCGACATCGTGGGCAAGATCGTGGGCAAGCACAGCGGCAGCAGCCTGCCGCTGCCCGAGTTCGTGGACAACACGCAGGTGCCCAGCTACTGCCTGAACGCGCGGGGCGAGGGCGCCGTGCGCAAGATCCTGCTGTGCATCGCCAACCAGTTCCCCGACATCTCCTTCTGCCCGGCGCTGCCCGCCGTGGTGGCCCTGCTGCTGCACTACAGCCTGGACGAGGCCGAGTGCTTCGAGAAGGCCTGCCGCCTGCTGGCCTGCAACGACCCCGGCCGCAGGCTCATCGACCAGAGCTTCCTGGCCTTCGAGTCCTCCTGCATGACCTTCGGGGACCTGGTGAACAAGTACTGCCAGGCGGCGCACAGGCTCATGGTGGCCGTGTCTGAGGACGTGCTGCAGGTCTACGCCGACTGGCAGCGCTGGCTGTTCGGGGAGCTGCCCCTGAGCCACGTCGCCCGCGTCTTCGACGTCTTCCTGGTGGAAGGCTACAAGGTGCTGTACCGCGTGGCCCTGGCCATCCTCAAGTTCTTCCACAAGGCGCGGGCCGGGCAGCCGCTGGCGTCGGACAGCGTGAAGCAAGACATCCGGGCCTTCGCCAGGGACATCGCCAAGACCGTGTCCCCCGAGAGGCTGCTGGAGAAGGCCTTCGCCATCCGCCTCTTCTCCCGCAAGGAGATCCAGCTGCTGCAGCTGGCCAACGAGGCCGCGCTCAAGCAGAAGGGCATCACCGTCAAGCAGCAGAGGTGGGCGGGGCCCGGCGTGGGCCCACCGGCCCGGGCTGCTGTGGGTGGGAGAACCTGCAGAGCGGGGCGGGCCTTCTGGGTGCAGAAGAGGCCTTGGGAGCGAGGCCCCCGCCTGCCGTGGGAGCTCTGGCAGGGGCTGGGCTGGCGCCGAGCGTGGCTGCCGCGCGTGGCCCCTGCTCCGCCGCTGCAGCGAGGCCTCGTGGGGCAGCGGGGCGGGGACAGGTCCCCACGTGCCCAGACCGTCTCAGCAGCTGGCCCCGCGGCCTCCTGTGCCGGGCCGCAGGAGCAGGCGTCCGGGCGCCGTCACTGACCTCTCCTTGTCTGTTTTATTTTTCTTCCTCTCCGTGTCCTTGCTTCCTCCTGTTTCTCAGTGTGTCGCTTTCTAGAAGGTAGGTCAACCGCAGCCGCACGCCGGCCCCTCTGCCGGCTCGCTCCGTCCCCCTGCGCCCGGCCGACGCGCGCGTGCTGGCTTCCGCGGTGCCGCCTCAGCCTGTCTGTCTGTCCGTCTGTCCGCTTACCTGTGTCTGCTGGTGCTTGGCTGGCCCCGGCCCTCGACGTGCCAAAGCTGACTCACCTGTGCCCTGATTTCCCAGAAAAAAAAAAAAAAAAAAAAGACGCTTTTGTCCGCAGTAGGCTGGGCGCTGCCCCCTCTCAGTTACGGGTTGGGAGGTGGGCCCGCGCATGGCCGTACCCAGTTCCTCCCTGCCCGGCTGCCAGAAGTGGGCCGTCCAGCTGGCTGAGTACGAGACACGGTGCCCGGGGGGGCGGGCGGCCGGGCCGAGGCCAGCACAGGCTCTGAGCCCTGCCCGCGCTTCCCAGGCAGTTTGTGCACCTGGCCGTGCACGCGCAGAACTTCCGCTCGGAGATCGTCAGCGTGAAGGAGATGCGGGACATCTGGTCCTGGGTGCCCGAGCGCTTCGCCCTGTGCCAGCCGCTGCTGCTCTTCTCCTCGCTGCAGCATGGGTACAGCCTGACCAGGTAGCACCCCAGCCCTGCGGTCACCGGCCCTGCCTTCCCCGCCGCGTTGGCCGCAGGCCTCGCCGGGGTGGTGGTCCCCAGGTTTGGCAGGTGCACCCCCCCGGGCAGCCGGCCAGAGTGCTTCGGGCAGAGCTGGCCGTGTCCACAGGCCCACGAGCGTTTTGGCACAGCCGGAGCTGTTTCCACAGCCCCTGCCAGGGACGACAGCCAAGTGCTGGGCACCATGCTGGCCGCTGGCCGCTGGCTGCCCTGCCCCCCCCCCCCCCCCCCGGGGTCTGGCTTCCTGGGCCAGGGACCTGTACCCCTGGTTCCTGCTTCCCTGGGG